GATGATACTTTCAATGATGTCTTTGTTCAAATTTTTCTTTTTTGGCCTGTGGCAGATTCACCCTCTTTACTGAAAAATATATAAACTTATTAGATTATAGAAAAACTCAATATTATGTTTCTAATAAAAAGAGATTAACAGAGAAGATACCTCATAATGTTATATCTATTGTCAATCTCATTTTCAGTATCAACAATATACAGCTGTTGAAACTTTGCTTTGTTTCCTGGTTTTGGCTTCATATCACCCATGAGATGGTAATTTTCACCTTGTATTGCAAACATCTGAGGCCCACGACCTTTAGGAACACAATGATCCACTTTCCCACCGATAGAAGTAAATGAGAAAATCATATTGTAAGCTCTATTGTTTTCCCTAAAATGTCTAGCGATTTCATCATTACTGGTTAGCAAATACCACAACAATTCAGGCGAGTCCTTTAGGAAAGGTAAGACTATCTGTCCTTGCATACAACACCCTGAGAACTTTGGATTTTTTGTTTTCCTCCTCTTGTTTAGGCGTTCCCCATACCAAAAAATAGCACCACACTCGCTACAACTAAAGATTGGATCACCTTCATCAACATAAGCTGAATAAAAAATAATCAAATATAGTTAGATCTTACTATAGTAATTCTATTTGCTATTCAACAATATATTACAAAAATTGGAATAATACCATTTTTTTGCTTAGGTGGAATGACAGGGGTTTCCTTAGGTTTACCAAAAGCATTTTCTAACATAGTAAGTATGTCAAAACGTTCTTTAGCTCGATGGATTGCTTCTTTCGGGTTATAAGCACATTCTTTAGCATAGTCATCTTCATCTGATGAAGAATCCGTAGATAATTCTTCTTGACTGCTGCAATATAAATCTTCTTGGTAGTTGTCTTCATATTCTCCTGTTATTATTTGGACATTAGAAATAAGAATATCTGCTTGAGTATGATATTTTAAAATTTTCTCTGACCTTCTGTGGAGTCTTGATAATCTGAGAAATGATCATCTTCATCTGTATCTGTATTGAGATCATTATCCTCCATAAAATCATGATGAGAATCAAGGAAATCATCAGTAACAGAATCCTTTTGTAATGTTAACACGGATCCTGAAGGATTATCTGATACAAATTTTATGATAAAATATGGATAGTTAGTATGAACAAATAGCAACATGGATTTGTTATATATGAAATCTGGATCCATTATTCCAAAAAAATGCATTCTAACATGAAAATTTACCTTTGTTTCTGTTATTTGCCGCAGAAGCTCCGGAAATATCATCATTTTGGGAATAAGAAGATTGAGGTTGATATGAGTTGTCACCGATTATTGTTGAGGTTAGCTGGGATTTGTTGAATGGACTACCTGACACTTTTAATAAAATTTATCGTGTTAGCTTACTCTGAATGATTTTAAAAATACATATACAATCTTTAGACTGTCATACAACAATGAAGAATATGACTTACATGGAATAGGGGAGAAATTTCTTGCTTTTTTAGAAACAGGAGTTTGATATGGAGTGTTTGAAACATTTTCCTGGCCTCTTGCAGTGGAACATGAGAAAGTTCTTTGGTCAGATGGTGATAGTCCACTGCTACTACGTGGTGAGTTAGATATATCTGTCAAAACTCTTTTAAATACGGAATTGATTGCAACAGCAGTTTTGTTATGGCTTTCTGCTGAAGGTGGATCATCTGTAGTACGGAGTACATTAGATGTTGTTCTTTTTCTTTTAGGAGTTGGAGTGACTTCAGAAGAACTTAGACCATGTGTATTATCGTTTTTTTCCATTATGACTTGGTTTCCTGTTGAACATAAAAGGTTTTGCTATAAAACATCAATAGTTTGCAAACCAATTAGATATACTAAAATTATAGAGAGGATAATAAATTTAAGTAGCTCTATGATAGGCTATCAAAATATGAATACCTTGGGATGTAATGGCTTTCCAAATACTCTGTAGCGTATTTCCTATGACATTCCTTCAAAAGTCCAAAAATTTATGATGTTTAAGTGTTTTTGCATTTGAGCTTGAGGAATAACTCTCAACCAACAATCCTTATAATCGACGATAGGAGAAGTATATAATATTAGATATCTCAAGATATTCCATATCTCTTACTAAATTAAGTTGTTTGAGTAAGTTAATATTCTATCTTATCTGTTATTAACTAAATCTATACTTTTGTGATACACAGGATAGTGGATGATAAGAATACCAAACAATAGAGAGCAAGGATCTCAGATCATCAACCTTTATTATTGAGGTTAGTGTCACTCAGAAGGATCAGATTATAGTAAATTTTGCTCAATATAAAAAATTCTTTAATGTACTCTGAAATTTATAAACATAGTTAACATGAAAAAAAGATATTCCATATATTGTGCTAATACTCTATTTAAGCAAAGCTTTTTCACAGAAAGCTTACGAATTAAGCAAAATAAAAGTAAAACACAGATAAGCAAAATTAAAAACAACTGAACATAAGAGTCTAATTTTACAAATAGGGAAATAGCACATTGATTAAAAAAAGTTAACAAACAAAGCATTAAAGTTAAAAAGGAATTTTTTTTAAAGTTAACAAACAAAGCTAGATAATATTTTTTGTCACATAGTTCCAAAAGAGTTCAATACGAAAATAAAACATAACAACTAAAATAAAAAAAAGGAATGAAACTAAAACATCCAGGGAAATGCTCCTCCATTTACTTGTTCTCTTCAACCAATTCCATCATCAGATCATCTTCATCATCATCAGTGAAGCTACGACTGTGGAAAAACCAAAACCAATTTAGTGTATCACATATTAAATTGATAGTATATTTATAATAAGTCTAAATTACACTTACATATATCGTGGAATATCTAAGTCATAGAAAGTTGGATTGAGGTACAAACGCGAACAACTAAATTCGCTGAGCAAGACATTTTTGCCTATAGCACAATTATAAAAGATATATTTTAGAAATATATACTATTTGAAATACATAAGAGAGTATAATTAAAAGAATGGGACAAAGAGTTTGAAAAACTAACCATGATACTCTGTGATTCTCTAGTTGCGAAGTACAGCCACAATTGGTTCATTATTATATGTAATGGCGTCGACCTTATCAGACCACTTGGTGATAAAGAAATCACACATCTTACTAACAGCAATGCACTTGATTATACAACCCCTAAAAAAATGTTCCATTAATAGAATTCTGTAAATTCTATTTGCATATCATAGCTATTAGATCTTACAAATATGACAAAACTTAGAAATAGTAAAGCTTACATATTGTCCATGATCTTAAAAGCCACATATCTTGATTCATTGTCTGACTCTCCATGACGACAGACATAAGGAAAGCTCATCACACCGGAGACAGCAGAAATCACACCGTTAGCATCTAAATTATAAAAATGAACAAAATAAACAAAATGTTATCAGTAAACTAATATCATGGAGTTCGAGAGAAATAAATTTAATCATTGTCTTACCAGTCACAACTTCTTTATTCGATTCCATAGCATACTTGACTTCAATAGGGAAAACAAAATCGAAAAAGTTACTCCATGATCTCTCTTTCACAGGCCACATTCCTGTTTCTGAAATAAACCTGATTTCAATTGGAGAGGATGTATATCTGATGCTGCTCCCGGGTTGGATAACCTGGAAATCAGACATGTGATACCACTTTCCTTCTTTCAGCACTCGTTGAAAATTCCAAAGGTATGTCCCAGATGGAATCCTTGCCTCGATGCTTCTACACTACAGAATCAAAACATTAAAAATATGAGTTTTACAAAAAATAAAGATAATTTAAATGCAAGGTAAAAGTAAACAGAAAGTGAAACAAAAGCTTGATACCTTTTCATATACCAGAATCATGATTGTTTCAGAACCAGCAGAACCCAAATCATGTTCCCACATACACATGATCTTAACACAAATCCTCCATGTCGTCGAGTTTACATGCAAATCAGATAAACTGTGAACAGACTCCATGGGATATACACGTTTGTTTCTTTGCATTGAATAGAAAAGAGTCGATGGTTTCTGTGGTTATTTTAAATGAAAATATAGGTGTATATATACGAATATGACTGAACAGATTCAAAGAATACAGTTTGAAATAGATATGGAAATATGAATCGTTTGGATGTGTTATTTAGATATATTTCATTTTTATTATTTAAAAATTTGAGGTAAATAATGATTAAGAATGATTCTTTTTTTCTAAAACAACTAAAAACCTTTTTAGAAAACAAATGATTGCTTATAATCACAGTTTCCATAAATGTAGGTGTTCCAAGATACTCAAAATTGAATCCGGATTCAAGATAAATTACCAGCAAGTTGTTGGAATATCTTGTTATGGATTTAGGATATAAATTAGACATTTTATTGTTATTAAAATTACAAAATTATATCAACAGATTTAGTAAGAATCTAAATTGAAATACAACTGATTCCACTGAGATTTCCTATTAATGAAATGTTTGTTGATTTACTTATAGGATTATACTAAAGCAGTTAAACTAATTGGATAAAGATCAGTCTGGACAAAGCCGTTAAAAAAATCTATAATCCTTTAAAGTAATCCTACAAACTTTTATTGCATTTACAATGGTTTTAGGATTATAGATAGTATCTAAAGTATAAGAAATAAGTTTTCTCTTTTTTGTTAGATATACCGGAGAAAGAATATTTATTAGTCATGGTTTCTTCTCCAAGATCCCATTTGATATGGACATATGAAATTAGGCCATAATTAAGAGTTCTCTTATAAGCTTTGGCTTAAAGAGTAATTCTAGAATATATAATGTTAGGAGGGTAGAGCAAATAATCAAATTAAATACAACCAAATGATAAACCATGACTAATAAAACTCGTAGATAGAAATTGAAACTAAGGATAAAATGTTTGAAAAGTTATTGTTTGAAAAACAAAAACCTAAAAAATAAGATAGAAATGTAAGAAAGATACTTAATAGAAAATAAAAATTCAATCCATCAGATAAACTTTATTTTAGATCGTTGAGTATTCCCTCCCTCACTTTGCTCCCTTCTGACCTTCGATCTTCTCAACCTTAATCTTCTTCAAAAGAACTTTCTTCTGTTCTGCTTCACTGACTTTGGTGATGGCTTCTTGACCTGCCTCATCAAGTTTGTGTAGAAACTTAGGCTGATCATGTTCCTTCGGATTGTCTAAGTCAACGACACCATCGACTTTAAGATCAGTAGGCTGATCATTTTTCTTCGAATTGTCTACACCAATGACACCATTGTCTTTAGCATCAGATTGTTTTCCAGTGCATTGTTTCTTGCTTGTGGAGTTTTGATCATATCCATCCGAACCATCTTCTTTTCTCTTTGATGATGGTGTAGACAGTGAAGTATTAATAGTCTCATCCTTATCAGAACTATTAGTCAGCATCAAAACCTAAAACAAAATGAATTTTTATTTAGGCGAGTAAGGAACAATAAAGATCATCATATCATATAAATCACACTGAAAATATTAAAATGTATTACCTGGTCACTGGAACTCATGGATGAAAGATCCACAGGATAATCAACTTCAGCTTTAAGGTCAGCTTGATTGAGGTTCTGACTTGTTAAAACCTCATTCACTTTGTATTCATCATTTCCTCTTGAGATGTTGTCTTGCTCAACACAGACTACGAACTGGTAAGTCTTTCCAATGATATTTTTAACTATATCAGGAACTGGGAGAGGGTCATCAAGTTCCTGTATAAAGTATAGATATTAGATTATAATTTACCAAGAAAAGAATGGAGATAAATGCAAGTAATCACTAATTACAGCTTCATTAGTGCCCTCCAAGAGTTCAGTAGCAGGAGTTCCGATAATTTGCTCAACAAAACTATCAAACAACATAAGTTTGCTCTCCCCTGTGATGTCCATAACGTCTAGATGAAGCCAGTACCTTAGATAGATAAACAAATAATGAGAATAAATACTCTTAATCAGGAAGTCATAATTTAAATTTAAGATAGTTTACAAAAACAATCACCTTGCTTCAACAGCAGAAACTTCTGCATTACATTTCTCACATCTGTAAAATAACTTCTTGGCACCAGAGCTAAGCAGTTTCTTACTTTGTACTACCTTTTTGTTACATTTGATGTGTGCATAATAGTACCAGGAGTAGTCCAAGTCAATTTGCAAAATGGTACAGAAGATTTTAACCTTCTCAACCTTGGAAAATAACAAAGAGTGAGTAAATATTTTATGTACTTCCGAATATAGTAAGAATATTGGCGATATTAAAGCTGTAGAAAATACCTCATAAGAAGCCTTAAGCTCAGCAATAGTATTTAGAGGTAAACCTAAGGACCTCTGTTCACGCACCTTTAGAGGCTGGAATCTAGGCTTAGGTCCCATGATAGTCAAGGCAAGTCCATCAGATGGAAGCCTGAAACACCACAAACACGAAAAAAAATTCAGTCTAATACAAAAACAAAATTGTTTAAAAAGGAATGTAGAAGACTCACATTCTCCTAAAGTCTTCAACTTCCGTCAAAATTGGATTGATTAAAACGTCCGAAGCATCAAAAGCATTAGAAATACTCCTAATATCTGCAAGTCATAATGGTAAACAATGATAAATATATGATGATCAATTTTATATAGGGTCATGTAATTCATGAGTAATAACATTACATACCTTTCCATTCTCCTAACTTCGCCCACCTTACCAAAACTATAACGATAGAACCAAGAGATTCTTGCGCAACTTTGCTAATTTGGTCAGCAAATTTACCCCAGAGTGAGCATGGTAGATGGTTATCACTACACAAACGAATATTAAAGAATTAAAAAGATTAACATAACCAAAACTTACCACCGATATAATAGAGTTGCGTAAAAAAAACGAAAATGCTTACTCAGTGTCTCTCAGCTGAAAATCAATCTTCTTGGTAGGCTTGCCTTGGACGTCGATCGTTTGCGCTTCTCCAACATTCACCAATTGACCAAGGACATCTACAACACAATCGTAGATGTAAAATCAGCAACTATAAATAACTATAATAGATAGGATACACAAACAAATAAGTATAAATAATACTCACCAACCAACTTGTTTTGATCCAAGTTACCAGCCATAAATAATAGTTGTAAAATCAACTAAATCAAGCCAAACCTCATTACAAATAGATGGTGAGGGAGAGAAGACAATAGAGTAGTGGAAATTTATTCTGTAGGGATGAATTGTTGATCGATATTGTCCCGTTGCTTTATTAACTGAGAAATCATCAATGATTTTCCAATCTCCTTTCTTCACATAACGCTGGAATTTGCTGATGTGTTCCTTTTTGATGCCTGCTTGAATTTTGTTACCCTGTAATGGAAATAAGATGAGTTAAAACTTCCCTCACATATATTACAAAAAGCATTTTAAAAAGTTTCAATGTTTCTTACAGCCTCATCTGCTAAAATCATCTCTAATGACATGCCAGAACCTTTTGTAAAATGAATCCATGAATGAAGTATTCTAACTTGAATACACCAAGCTGTCTTGAAAGGCTTCAAGCTGTTGACTGGTGTGTATCGTGTAAGCTGAGTCATTTGTTGGTGTTTTTTTTGCAGGTTATAAGAAAAGAGAAAGAGAGGATTTTGGTTTGTATTATGCTAAAGGTAAGTGGCTTACTTATAGTTCTAGGTAGTCGATTAGGATAAAATAAATTTGAAAATATATTAGTTAATTTGTAAAAGGAATATCCTAGATATATTCTAGATTAGTAGAATATAGAATCGTAACATATTCAACAAAGAGATTTGCCAATATTTTTAAAGGATTTTTAGGAAACTAACCTAAACCATTTTATCTTAATATAACTATTTGTTGATAACAAAGATTTTAAAGAAACTGAAAATATTCAGAAAGATCCCGTGCTGTAGTAATACACGAATTCGAATTTTAACTTTTGTTTCAGTATATATCGAATGATACCTTTTTAGAACTATATACATGAAAATAATAGTTTATTGAAAATTCGAATTATATTATATAACATTTTTCAATGATATAACATTTTTAATTTTGAATCTTACATTTTGAATAACATTTTCATTTTCAAATAATGGATTAGTATATAACATTTTCAATAACATTTTCGAACTATATGAGTAGTATAATTGAAAATAGGATTTTTTATAAATTTAATTTATATAAAATGTTTTCAATGATATATCATTTTCATTAACATTTTCAATAACATTATTCTAAAACATTTTCGACTTATATATTAGTATACAACATTTTTACTAAATGTGTTACATTTTCGAATTGATTACTATATAACAATTTCGAATTATATTAATTATGTAATATAGTTATTATCAAAAATATATGAATTATATAAATTATAATTGTAATAAGTTTTTAATATATAAATTAATTAATTATATAATTTATATGAATTATATAAATTATATAAACAAAATCTTTTAATATCTTTAAACCCGTTGACCCGTTGACCCGTTAATATATATTAGTGACATGGAATAAATTTTATGATTAAAATTCTCTAATGGCATATATTGTAATTTCTTACAAAATTTAAGTTATGATCCTTAGGATGTACTTCCCAAATATTAGTATAGGATAAAAACTGATGTTAAGCTAAATTATACTAGTTTTATTTCTCTGTATATTTTTTTTGCAAAATATAAACGTAAAAAAGATGCACAATATACATTAACATCACTTTTAAACGTGATACACAATATATACATCAATAGGAAATGATGCTAAGAATAATTCTTTTTAACTATTTTAATTAAAACTAATTAAAAATATTTTACTATAATTAATTGACGCTAAATTTTCGTTAGTCTAGGTCAAGTATTGCAAAATTATTAAATATAAAATTTTAAACTTAACATACATACATATTAAAACCTTAATCTAATAACAAAATAATAAATATTTCACAAAACGTAACTCATAATATCTAAAATCTATTTAAATTGCATATATTTAAATCACTATTTTCAACTCTAGTTTTAGTTACCAGTTGCATCTCTCCACATTTGTTGAGCCACCATTTCTCTCCGTATATTAGCACTTTCTCTTTCTTGATCTAGTGTCTCAAAAATTTCTTCATTATTTTGAGAACCATCAAATGGAGTATTTGTAGGAGAGAATCTATAACAAATTTCTATAAAGAAAAACGGTGATCAACAATTTGTTGTAAAACTAAAGATTTTATTCCATCTCAATATATTGTAAGATTTAATTTGATTTATTCAATGCCGTAAAAGATATTTACAGAGATTAAAAGTGAACTTCCTTGAAAAAATGTTTTATAGAGGTGAAAATATAGATATGAAAAAAACATGCTGAATCTCTTTACTAGAACAATTTGTTTCGCAAATATAAAAATCGAGAATTTCGTAAATCTATTTGATATTTTCATTTTTATTTGAAGCATACATAACATGAAATAGAATGTGGCTAAAAACAAAATATTAGATGCAACATGAGTAACACTAATAAGGATGTGTCGCCATTTGATAGATTTGAGCTTTAACATGGGCTTCCAACTCAAAACCAATTGGCAATGAGTGGATTGGCCCTAACCCTTTATATATCACTTGATAATTTCTCTAACTTCCGATGTGGGACTTTCTCTCATTAACACCCCCCCTCACGCTCAGGCATCTTTGGCTCTGAAGCGTGGGCATATGTGGGAACAACATCCACGGGGTGGCCCGATATGGGACTTCAATAACACCCTCTCTCACGCTCAGGCATGAACATCTGAAGCGTGGGCATATGTGGGAACAACATCCACAGGGTGGCCCAACGATCGGGTGGCTCTGATACCATGATAGATTTGGGCTTTAACATGGGCTTCCAACTCAAAACCAATTGGCAATGAGTGGATTGACCCTAACCCTTTATATATCACTTGATAATTTCTCTAACTTCCGATGTGGGACTTTCTCTCATTAACACCATTTGCCAATGAGAGCTAGCAATACGAATAAGATAATGAGAACCAACAAGAGAATGAAGCATATGATTATCTTTATGAGACATATATAGGCTCAGTTTCATTTTGGTGCGGGAGAGAGAAAGAGAGAGAGAAACAATGCCGTTATTGAGGTTTAAGATACGAAACAGGAGCTAAGCTTGGGTGGACTGGAGATCAGTATAGCGCCACCGTGAAAAATGAAGAAACCATGGCGATTCTCAACGTAGTTGAAGTGGCTAGACTCATCGGTATCCTCCTCATTTGCATATGCTTGACAAATTTACTGTAGGTGGTCTTGGATCTTGACTTTAGAAAGGAATTAGGAAACAAATGCCCTCATAGTGATCTTGCATTCATAGATTATCAGCAAAAAAAGGTCTAACTACCCTCCAACCACCATTACGATTTTGCCGATACCACGACGAGGGATCCTTGCTTTTGCTTCTCTTTCTCTCCATCCATGTGACCTGGTTCTCTCTGCTATTTTACGTAGAATCTCCTTTTTCACGTAGACATATCTCTATTTTCATTTGTTTTGATCCTTCATTTTTGTTTTCCATTGATTAACACCCATAAATAAGATAACGTTTGTGTTTATCAATCCAGAGAGAGAGAGAGAGAGAGAGAGAGAGAGAGAGAGAGAGAGAGAGAGAGAGAGAGAGAGAGAGAGAGAGAGAGAGAGAGAGAGAGAGAGAGAGAGAGAGAGAGTAAAAATGAAACAAATCAGTTTCTTGATATGTAAAATACATTCAAATTCAAAATGAAACAAATCAAATTCTTGATATGTAAAATATGCATATTGACGAAAACTAGTTTTCTATATATGATGAAAAAAATGTAGATATATTATTTATTTCCCGATGAAGAAGTGCCACATCGTACATGTCAAAATAAGAATTATATTGGCAAGGTGATGTTTTTATCTGCGATGGCTCGGCCAAGATTTTATGAATGAAGAAAATAGGATATTTTCTAGAAAATATGTTGGGTTTATTTTAGGGTTATTGTTGGATTTATTTTAGGGAGACTTAGCGCATAGGTAAAAACAGAGCCTCTAATTTGCGAATCGGTAAATGTCCATTTTGTCTTAGACAAAAGAAAAATGATTGTTACTAATGGCCCTCCGTTTCAAAATAATTACGGAAAACCCATGTGCTTACACAGCTATGCGAGTGGGATAAGTGCCTTGACTTTTTGGCAAAAAAGAATGATACGACATATATTAAATTCTCAGTTGTAGAAAAGACTATTTTTCGGCAACAGAAAGAAGGAGGAACATTAATTATTGTGTTTTTATCAAACTGAAGAAATTTAAGCACTCTACAAATATATATTATACGATTTTGACATTTGTAAACATCTAAATACATATATGGATCAATGTATACATATAAATATATATATATATATATATATATATATATATATATAACGTTATTAATATTTGTATACATGTAAACATGTACATTAAGCGTTATTAACATTTGTATACATATAAACTAGTGTTCTAAAATACGGCCTAGGCGGCCGTATATACGGTGATAATATGTTATACGGTAGAGTATTGTACTGCATTTGAGCTATACGTTAGACATATACGGTCGGGGTTAAAACGGTGGTATATACTGCGCCGATACGGAGGTTATCTTAATTAAATTAAACCAATAAATAGATTAGTAGAGAAAACCCTAAACACAACTGCCTAAACATCATCGTTCGTGAGTCGTGACGCTTAGGTTTCTTTCTCAATTTCTCTAAGTTCATCCTATTAACAGAGAATCTTCAGGTTTTTTTACTCTAAATGTTTTGTATTGACTTCTGATATATGATCTTTGTTTATTTGGCCTTATTATGTATTATTAGTTTATTACTTTGATTGTCTTAGTTTCTCCTGCATCTCATTCACGTGCTCTGCATCTCATATTGAAAACTATAATTCTTTCAAAGTCAAAATTTTTTGAACGAAATAGACTAATAGTATTATATGGGTTTTAGTTGTCAAAAATTTTGTCTTTACCTTTAGAGATCGGGCAACAATTAATACAAAATTCAAACGCAAAAGCTAGAAATCAACACTGAATTTCGTTTATTCTTAGAATCAATCTTTTGTCATTTTTTACAGAAATTATTCAAGTTCTAATGGCTTCTAGTTCGAATGTGGATCCTCGTGGAGCATCAGAGTCAACAGTTTTGAAGAGAAACTCGAATGATGTTGCTTGGGACTATGGAATTTTGTATGATCTGAAGAATCTTGACAAGGTCAAATGTAAATTGTGTGGGAAAGAATTTTCAGGAGGTGCATGCAGGACAAAGAACGCCAAAATTTCTGGAAATGTCACTACATGAAATGTGGGTATTGATAGCACTAAAAGATAGCGTTTTTAATGTCTCTGCTATGTTTGACTTATTCGATAGCGTTTTGTGAATTGTAAACGCTATAAATGATTGAAGCGGGATAAATAAAATTCACGCGGCCAAGTTTCGGGTTACTAAAGTGTAATTCCCGCTATTGAAAATGTTAAGAGGGAAAAATGAGAAATTTGGCTAAGGCAAAATAAATTAAAACAAGAAAATCACTTTTTCATTTTTTTTCCTAAGGCAAAAATCACTTTGTCTCTCTCGATTTCTCTCGATTTGTCACAGTCAACAACAGGGATCTTAACTTCGGTCAACGCCGCAGATGATGGGTCCAGTAGTTTCGGAAAAACCAACCTGACCGGAGTTAGAATTTATCCGACATTGAGTCGGCGACGATTCTCATCGATCCGAGTTGTGTCCCCAATTCGCGGAGATGCCCAATCTTCCTTTAGTCGCAGGTAAAGCCTCCATTTTTGGGTTTTGTGTCTGTTTCTTAGAGTAACACACATCCTCTAGAATTGTTTGTGGTCACTTAATGTAAATCTAGCAATCTAATTGTGCTCTTGACCCCTTGAATTGCTGCAGTTCTTTCGTTTGCTCTCAGAATCTTGGTTTGAGCGGTGGAATCAGTGGTTTCAGTGCACCTGAAGCTCTGCCAAATGTTTGTGAAAATGCCACTCCTTCTTCCATCAAATCTTTCAACCAGGTGAGATTTTGATTTTAATCCCTTGTTTCTAGGTCTTTGATAAATCTACTAGTTAATATCTGTATATGTTTTTTTTTTCTGACTTATAGATTGACTCACTTGCTTCATGCTGACTAAACATGTTTGGTCTTATATGTTCTTTAAATTTCATTTGTATGGCTTGGATTTGAGTGACATTGTATTACGTATTACTTGATTGGATTTTAAAGAATTTTAGTTTGTTGAGCTTCCAATGGCTTTGAAGATAGATATCTAGATATTGAGATTACTATGTTCTCATAATGTGTTTGATCTGTTCTATTTTTTTTTCTCTCAGTTGATTGAGACTTTGATTGATCGGGTTGATCTATCTGAAGCTGAGGCTGAATCATCTCTCGAGTTTTTGCTGAACGAGGCAAACGAGGCACTAATTAGTGCCTTTCTGGTTCTCCTGAGAGCTAAAGGAGAGACATACGAAGAAGTAAGTCAAGCTAGGCGTATACAAAAAACATACATAATTCTAAATTATAGCACTTCACTAAGTAAAGCACTTCACTAAGTAAACAAACAATGTTGGGTAGATTGTGGGGTTGGCTAGGGAAATGATGAAGCATGCCAGGAAAGTGGAAGGATTAGTCGATGCTGTGGACATAGTTGGAACAGGTGGTGATGGAGCAAACACAGTCAATATATCAACTGGATCTTCAATACTTGCTGCAGCTTGTGGTGCAAAAGTAGCAAAGGTAATAAAGGATTAAGCTACAGATTAATGGAGAAAAGAAGCTGGCTTTCAATGAGTTTTTGAAAGACCCATCTGGCATGGAGGCTGTGATCAACGCTAAGGCTTTGCAGAGTTATCATTTAGTTGAAGATACTGATGATACTTACAGCAGGTTCTTTCTTTAACCCTCTAGTTCAATGTTCATAAGACAAAATTTTCATACTTGTCTTGCATAAAGGTCGTTTGCATATGTTTTAGGATCTGTATTGCTTTGATTGTCATCTGTAGCTTCTTAGTTTGCTCAGTAGCTGCAGAAATTTTGATGTCCTAGAACTGTTATTTCGGATTTATCTTTGCTTGTTCTCTGATTTGATGTCCTAGAACTGTTAATAGTGATACTGTCTCAAAACGATCCCTTTATATGCTTAAGTGTATGCACAAGCATGAACTAAGATCTGAAGATAAAAAGAATCTGAGAAGTCTAATTGACAAACAACATCTTTGCCAATTTTTAAGCTGTATAATATGTGAGATTCTCCAATTTGAATGTCCTCTGCAGGAGGAAGTAGTTTTGGTTGTCCAGAGAATGCTGCAGCTTCTATAATTAGGTAAATACACATAGGTTCGGTTCACATGTTTCATTATGTGCATATGAATATGTTTAGATATAGCTCAGTAGTAATAATCAGGTAATAAATTGATTAGATATAGCTCAGTAGTAATAATAAATTGAATGTGTGCTCTAAGTATCATAGTTCGTGGTTTCAGATCATGTGTGCACAGAGACATTAAGTCTAGCAACATTCTGATTGATGACAAATTCAATTCTAAAATTTTTGAGTAATATGTGTCAGTGCACTGAGTAATGCCTATCATTTGGCACCAAACTCTTCTAACCTTCGTGCAACTGTAAGGAAGAAAGAGTCATTCAGCTTCTTTTGCCTAGCAAAATCACTATCTTTGTGTTGAATCCTCTATTTTTGTTGCAGGTACAAGCATGAACTAAGATCCTGAGTTTTACAGCTTTTATGCTCCAAGTATATATGAAAATGTTCATGTTGCAGAGGTTTGAACAAAAATCTCAAGATTCTGAGTCATTACCACTTGTTCCCACCACCAAAATGTTTCTCAGGTAAACTCTATCACTATTACATTTCCTATCAAAAAATTTCGAAAAAGTGTTAAGGTCATTTTCTTGTTTTGTGTTTCAGGCGATTCATTCAAGCAGCACAAGCGTCTCACAAGGTGGTTCCCGATATGGAGATGGAGTTTCTAGCAAATCAAGTTATAAACGTGTTTACTTAACATTTGTAAACTTCAATTGACATTTTGTAATTGTCGTTTCATGCATTTGATTTCAATTTCTCTAGTTCTGTATATAGCTTGGATGTGTATAAGAAACTTATTAGATTATGTAATATTAGTATTGTGAAATTAGATTATGGTAATGGTACATTGTGTAATATTATGGTATATATTGGTACATTTTGTAATATTATGATAAAAAAAATTAAATTCCTAAATTAAGTCTATAAACCCTAAATTAAAGTTAAAATCCTAATTAAATTATGAGAATTTTACTCAATGGGGTACATTTTTGAAACTCAATTGACTTCTAGAGTAGTTTAGGGATAGTGGGTAGTTTTTTAAATTTTTTTACTAAAAGCACCTCAAACTTTCGTTAACCATGGTTACATTATCTTCTCATTTATTCTAAATATTTCACGATAAAAAAATTAAAACAATTATTATGATCCTCTTCTCTTCTCTTTCTTCTCTCTTTCTTTCAATTTTTCCGACGGCAGAAAACGAAGACGACGGCGGTGTTAGGCGACGGAAGAAGATTTTATCCATTTGTGTTGCAAATACCAATAATTAGGATCAATCGAATATTAAAGTAAAATAGAGAGCCACATGAACTTTCCCAAAATCAACGAAGATAGTTTCAGATCGGAAACAAAAGAGAGATTTTGTCTCGTCCATAGATCGGATGGCGAAGGAGAAGAAAGACATTCCTCTTTTCTGTCGCTCCCTTTGGCTTTCTCTTCTCCAATTATCTTCTTCTTCTTTGTCTTATTGTCTGCTAATTCGCCAGTAAGTTCTTCTCTCTCACTATAATTTAAAGTTTAAAGTTCTGACCTTAAATTAAAAATTTGTAGTTGAAAGGAGTGAGTGGGTGATTTAACAACCTTCCTTCATCAAGATCTTCAACAATCAATCTGGTCACAATGAAGAGCCAACGAATCTATTTCTTCTCTTTTCTCCTTCGTCTTGTCGTCTCACTTCGCCGAGTTATTTAAAATTCAAATTTATAGTCTTCATTTTGGAATTCGTCATCAGTTCAACAAATATCCATGTTTTTTTTTTTGCTTTTTTCCAGTGGTGTTCGCTGCACTTGAGAATAAGTTGAGTATATCGAGTGAAAGCGAAAGGAGTGATTGGGTAATGCAAAGTTCGTTATCCACTTAATTTAAGATTCGTAGTTGAAATTGGTCAATGCATCAATTTTGTGATGCAAAGTTCGTTATTCCTTTCTGGATTTTAGTTCATGTTATGATGGAATTCATGAAAAGTTATAGTTCACGTGTTTGCCTTGTACTGATGAGTTTTGATTGTGTGACATATTTGGGTTTCTTGTGATGAAGGAAGTGTTGCGGCTACGACAGCGCCACCACCACTTGTGATTTCCTGTTGAAGGTTTGTTTCTCTTTATATTTTATTTCTCTGCAATTCGTCTCTATTTTTTCTTTTGAATTTGCAAACCTCCTGATTCTTATTTTATAATCTTTCTTTTTGGTAGAAAAGTTCGTTATGAGAAGTGTCAAACTACCATCTTCGACGCCCTTTGTTTGAAAATTAGTTTTGGAGATACTCCCTCCGTATTTTAATAAGTGTCGTTTTAGGATTTTCTTTTTTTAAAAATTAGATGTCGTTTTCAAATTTCTATACAAAATTTATTACTTTTTAATGTTTTATGATATCATAAAACATTAAAAAATAAAAAATTTTGCATAGAAATTTGAAAACGACATCCAATTCAAAAAAATAAAAATTCTAAAACGACACTTATTAAAATACGGAGGGAATAGTATTTTTCTCTATTGTGTCGATTTCACATATTTGTTTAGAGAGTAGTGTGAACACATCTACCAAACGAAGTCATGGACAATATGTGATGTTTATAAAATTTAACGAAGGTTCAAATTCCCTTATTTTTCTCTCTCGTTGTCGTGTTTCTATATATGAGATGTTTATAAGGTTTAAATTCTCTTATTGATAATGGGTTTTGATTTTACTATCACTTGTACTTTCCAATAAGAGATTTAAGGAAGAGACGAGTGTTAATCGCAGTGATTTTGGTTAGATTTTGTTAAGCTTGTCTAACATTTGATGGATAGTTATAAATGGATAAAGTGACATGGGTACATTAATTTATATGAGATTTGATAAATTTGGACGAAATCACAAGTTTTTTTTTTTTTTTTAAATAAAGTTAAGGTAAAAGTCTCTCAGTTTGATTGGATGTTGTGAGTGATATTTTTGTTTGAGTTGTGAATTTTAATCGTTGTCCTCATTACCATGAATTTATATTCATCCGATATAATCCATCTAAGTAATCGCTTAATGGACAGAGATTTGTGGACAGAATTAGAACACAAAACATGATCATTTACCTTTATTGTAGTATATAAAAACATGGATTTTGAAACAAAGGTTACCTTAATGTATATTTAACAAATAGCTACTTGAATCTAACTATACAATAGTTATTAACATGGCACAAATTAACTTGTCATGGTCATTGTTTAATGGACAAATTGATGTGGACATGGAGATGAGAACATTGGAAATATGTTTTTTGAGAGTGAAGAAGTAAATTAGACCTAGATTGAAATGACCACATGCTCAGAGTTTGGTGGATGTGCGTGTATGGTCGGTAATTCGAAATGATTGTGTTGTAAATTTTGATGTAAAATTATAAGAGACTGTCATGTATTCAAGATTATAAGGAGTTTCTATTTTATCCCTTAAAAATATTTTTTGTGTCAATGACTTCCCACACTTATCTCAATCAATCGCCACTATTATTGTTGACTATTATGGATGCCACATTATGGATGTCGCATAATGATTGTTGTGTCTAAGGTTTCGAGTTTTGAGTTTCGGGTTTAGAGTTTAGGGTTTAGGTTTTAGGTTTAGACTTTAGGGTTTATGGTTAAGGGTATAGGGTATATGTATATGGTTAAGGGTTAAGGGTTAACTCTAGATGGTTTAGGTTTTAGAGTTAAGGGTTTTGAGTTTAGGGTTTAGGTTTAGGGGCTAAGATTTAACGTCTAGGGTTTAGTATATATGGTTTAGGGTTTAGTCTCTACTGTTTAGGATTTAGGGTTTAAGGTTTAGTGTTTAGTGTTCAGGGTTTAGGGTTTAGGGTTTAGGGTTTAAGGTTTATGGGTTAGTATCTATGGTTTAAGGTTTAGTATCTATGGTTTAGGGTTTAGTCTCTAGGGTTTAGGGTTTAGTCTGTATGGTTTAGGGTTTAGGGTTTAGTGTTTAGGGTTTAGAGTTTAAAGTCTAGGATTTAGTGTTTAGTCTCTAGGGTTTAGGGTTTTGTCTCTAGGGTTTAGGGTTTAGGGTTTATGGTTTATGGTTTAGGGTCTATGGTTTAGTGTTGGTCTCTAGGGTTTAGGGTTTAGTCTCTAGGGTTCAGGGTTTAGGGTTTACGGTTTAGTTTCTATTGTTTATGGTTTTGTATCTATGGTTTAGCATTTAGAGTTTAGGGTTTAGGGTTTAGATTTTAGTCTCTAGGGTTTAGGTTTTAGTATCTATGGTTTAGGAACTATGGTTGTCAACAATGATAATAGTATTTATGGTTTCCGGTTTCTTATTAGAGATTATATATTCCAACGTTGTCCATATGGAGGATCATATGGATTTTCATTTTTCCCTTTGTGTTTACGATTAGGGGTTTTTAGTAAATGGTTTAATTAATAGTTTACACATTTACTCTTTAATGGTGACTATGCTTATAGTTTATCTTTTAGTATGTTTTCTAAGTTCCACAAAATGAGTTTTTATTTCAATGATGTGATGGATTCTAACCTGTTTGTTGTCATTTAAAAGCTTTCAGAGACGACATTTCATAGATTCGCATTCTTACGTACATCCATAGTAGTTTTTTGATGTGGTGGAATGATGGGAACGCTGGTCTCAAGGAAAGGTTTTATAATCTAAAACGAAAACGCATGTTGCGTTCTCGTTTCGAGTATCTCAATGAAAGGTCCTGAACAATAGGGCAATGTACATATGAAAACTACCAATGTAAAGAAGATGAGGACAATAATTTATGAATATCAAAATGAGCACTCATGGTGGTCACTTTTGGATGGATCGGACACAAATATTCTGGATATGTTACCATGGCACAACGATCAGCCTTTGTTGTTTTGGTACAAAGAACACACAAGTTAACACCAAAAACATAGTATCTATGATAATTAGTCCACATAACCTTGTCCATGATGCAATACGCATTACAAATTCTACACAGTTTCCTCTTTGCATTGCTAAGAGAACGATGTCCATCGAATATAGTATATGTGGACGATGAGTCATGGGATGTAATCGGAGACATCAATTATGCAACACTTATCAATTCAACAATTTTCTTAAAGCAACAACAAAATTCAGACTCCAAAGCATAATCACTAATCTAATCAGAGAAACCAAAAGAGAAATAATCAAATGTTTTCTTGTTTCCTCTTGTAGAATATGAAGAAGAAGAACAACAGACGACACATCAACGAAGTCGTATGGCTTCTCTCTCAAAATCGAGCAAGGTGAGGATATCACCTTCCCTCACCGGTCATTAAACACAATCAGTAAAAACTAAGCAAAACCAATATAAACCCAGATTATAAATAATTGAAAAAAACCAGAGATTGAGTAAAAAAAAACAAAATATGAACATATCCACAAAACCACATCCACAAGAGCACCATATATAACACAAAAATCCAACTAATCCATAAGCGTTTTTAGGTGTTTTTCCAACAATAAAACATATCAATTTACTTGGATCCAAGGACAAACAAGAACATGTTCAACATTGAATCCAAAAAAATTTAGTTAAAACGATTGACTTGTGAATGAGAACTTGTATCTTTCAAAAGAGGTAAAAGAAAGACCGACCGATGAATCCAACCATTTGATAACCTCCAGGTTCTCTCACAGTGTAGCTAGTACAAAAAGGTCAGACTTTTGATACACACTTGATAAAAAAATTGTGATAAAGGTCAATTAAGTGGCAAAAAAAAGAATTCAAAGAGAAGCAAGCAAAAGGCACAGAGGCGCGAGGTGGCGGCGGTTGACAGCGAGTTGTTTAGGAAAGAGAAGCAAAGATCATCGGGAGATGAGCCCGAGAAGGATTCTTGTTGGAACCACAACCTAATGGTCTTCGCCGGCGTGGTTTGAAAATAGACAAAGAATGAAGTGGAGGCATCGTCAAGAGCTGCGGAGGCTGCCTACGAGAAGTGGGACAGAGGGAAGCATAGATCTACGGGAGATGAGTCGAGAAGGTATCCGACAATAACCAAATCCAGAAGGTTTTCATCGGCAAGATTTGAAAATGGACGGAGCGAGACAATGAGACACCGGAGGAGCAAAGGGTAAAACGGTACCTCGGAGATGAACCTCCGACGAGCACAAAAACAACACGACTAGGACCAATAAACAGAGGAGACGACAAAGAAGGAAAACAAAACTTAGAAAAGCCGCCGGAAAACGAAGCCTCAGTGGTTGCAAGCTTAAGTTCTTATTTTTATTTTTTAGATCTAGCACATAAAGCTCTAATTATTCTGTTTTCAGATTAGAAAAAAAGAGAGAGAGAGAGAGAAAGAAGGATCTGAAGTTTGTCGGCGTTATCATCAACAATGTTAACTCTCATCTGAAGCTTGTCATGAGCCGTTGGATCTATTATCTCTCCAAAATATTCAATGGTTGAGAATTTAGAAGTTAACCAAGGTTGGGTTAAATGTTTCATGTGGTAAGGGTAAAATGGTATTAATTTTTTTGGAACAGTGAAAAAACACAAAAAAAGTACCTACTCCTTCCCATGTACCCCATATGCTCAAACAATCTCACAAACTACCCCAACATGCCACGAACCCTTAAATTAAATCTTTAAAATCCTAAACCCTAAACCCTAAACCCTAAACCCTAAATTAAAGTTAAAATCCTAATTAAATTAAATCTTTAAACCCTAAATTAAAGTTAAAATCCTAAATTAAAATCCAAAAACTATCTAACTTGAGTAAAAAAATCTAAACCCCAAAGTTTAAACCCTAAACCCTAAACTATGTCCTAGTGTTTATGAACATATAAGTTAGATAGTTGGAATACTAATTTATATTAATTGTTCTTAATTTTAAAATTTTATACTTATGAGAAAAAATATTCTAAAAATTGAAATACTTATATTGAATTTTTAAAGAAATAATTTCTATTTTTTTCATTAATAAACAATTTTATATGATAATTTTCTGATTTTTTCATTATTAGCCAATGAGAACTCACCTTCCACATTGTGGGACGAATCCTACACCGTTAGATCGCGCCGACTTTGATCTGAGCCGTCCTCTCTTATTGTTGACGTGATTAATATACACCGTTGATCTGTCTCGCTGATTTGATCTGAGCCGTTCATGTTCTTAGCCAATAAGGAGTAACTACCGAGATTGCAGTCTGGGCTTATTCTCCACCGTTGATGAATTTAATCCGACGGCTAAACGTTTCTCCTTCTTTTCTCTTTTTTTTGGTTAAAACTTCTTTTCCTTTTGGCTTTCTCTTCCTTAGTACGATCTGTTCTTAGATCTTACATCTTATGGGATAGGTTAAAACTTTCAGTCTTCTTCTTCTTCGTTGAGATAGGTGAGCTCATCGACCAACAATGGCTTCCTCTGCAACAGCCCCAAATTCGCTATCTTTCTTCTCCTCTTCTCTCTTTTTATCTTCCTCTCATCAAATCCCTAAAACCTACATTTCCGTTTCAAAATTCGGCTCCAGCAAAGCATCGAAACCGCTCTCTGTTGCATCTCAGCTAGCGACTCTTCCAATCATCTCATTCGAGGGAGAGAAGGTCGGGGAGACTTATCTGGACCTCAAAACGGCGCCGGAAGATACCACGCGTGCCGTTGTTCAAGGCAGATTTCAATCGTGTATTTGGGTTTACGGGTCCAGTCATCTCTGTGACGGATATCACAAGGAGGAGATTAGATAAAAAGTCAGATTTATGTTCCTGAATTTGTAGACGAAGGCGAAGAAGATCTTGGCAATTTTAAGGAACCTACGACTGATTTTAATGACAAAGTAGGGAAGAAGAGACAGAGGAAGAAAGATGAGTCTGGTCTTGAGAAGACGAAGAGGAAGAAGAAGAGAAGAAGCAAGATTCTGTTGAAAATTCCAGCGGAGGTTCAGGAGAAGTGGGATTCAATTACAAACAACGAGAACTCCAAGGTTTGTTTCTTTGTTTGTTGTCTGAATCTCTGGTTCCTTGTTCTGTTGTCATGATATCATAAGTTTGATTTCTCTCTTTATTGTTAACAGGATAGTTTTTTTGGACGACGCTTACATGATGAGCAGAGAGCTATCGGAAGAGACTGGAAAGGAGTCAAGGGTGTGATGGGAATGTCGCTGTGGAGATCAAAGATGGAAGTTTTAGTTGGGATGATGAAGCCGACGAGCCTGCAATTGAAAACATTAACTTTGAGGTTAAGAAAGGGGAGCCTGCGATTGTAGGGACCGTTGGGGTCAGGGAAGTCTTCATTGTTAGCTTCAGTTCTCGGCGAAATGCATAAACTTTCAGGCAAGATTTTGGGGAACTGGTAGCAGCGCACGAGACATCAATGGAGCAAGTTGAAGCTGGGTCGGCATCAGCCACTGCAGCAAATGTGCCAATGGCATCACCAAGAACACAGAGAACTATTTCAATAGAGTCTCCGCGTCTACCACCAACACCAAAATCTCCCAAAATACATAGAACTACTTCAATGGTTTTTGTAAACAATGAAATTTGAAATGGGTTACTAAACATTTTAATATTTATATATTTTGTATTAATTTTAATGGTATTTTTTTTACAAATATTCAAAATTAATTTTTTTTTACAAATATTATATTTAAATTAAAAAATAATTCGTAATTATTTATTATTTTGAATAATTTAAAAACAAACTAATAACACAAAACATTTGCTATCTTTGCTATAGGTAAAATCTAATTAACGAGTTTTAATAACATCTTTATCACGCTATTATAAACATTAACAATTGCACATAAGACAACGCTATCGTTGTATACTTAACTATTGCACAACGCAAAACCGCTATCAAAAGTGTCCGACTTTCTATAACGGGCGATGTTAGAGCGCTTAAGGAAACGCTATGATAGATGAATAATTGCGTTTTTCGGCCGCTATTAATACCCACATTTCCTGTAGTGTGTTTCTGCTTGTCCAAAATCAAATTTCTGGAAATGTTTCTGATTGTCCAAAATCATCAAAGGATGATCAAGAAAAGTGCTAGAATGCTATCGATGAAGTAAAGAAAAGAAAGAAGTAGAAGGTAACTGCAGATGATGAGTTGCGACAGTCTGTTACGGTTCATGACGATGGAGATATGGATGATGAGATTGAAGTTGAAGAAATAGGAGAGAGATGCAAAGGACACTTGGTCCAATGGATAAGTTTGCAACAAACATCAATCCAGAATCTAGACCTCTTCCAACTAGCTAGGCAACAAAATATCAATGATGCTCTTTGGAAGGAGAAGCTACATAAGGTTCAACAATATATTTCTAGGTGGGTGTATGCTTCAGGTGTTCCCTTCAACTCTATCGCAAACGATGAGTTTAAAATGATGGTTGAAGCTATAGGACAGTTTGGTCCAGGCGTCACACCACCAAGTTAATACCAACTTCGAGAGCCTTTACTAAAGGAAGAGGTTGATAGAATTCATGGTTTGCTGAAACCGCAAGAAGAAGAGTGGAAAAAGAATGAGTGCACGGTTATGACAGATGCTTGGTCGGATCGAAAGAGGAGAAGTATCATGAATTTGTGTGTTAATTGTAAAGGAGGTACAATTTTTTCTCTTCTAAAGAGAGTTTAGATGAGGCTCATACAGGTGGATATATTTTTGAGTATGTTAAAGGATGCATTGAGGAGATTGGTGAAGAGAATGTAGTTCAAGTGGTAACTGATAACGCCGCTAACAATATGTCTGCCGCAAAGATAATGAAAGAGATCAAGCCAAGTATCTTTTGGACATCATGTGGTACTCACTCCATCAACTTGATGCTTGAAAGCATATCAAGACTCCCAAGGTTCAAAAGTACAATTCAAATGGCGAAAGAATTCACAATCTTCATGTATGCTCATCATAAGACATTGGCGATGATGAGATCATTCACAAATAAGAGAGATATCGTTAGGCCCGGATTTACTAGATTTGCATCATCGTTTCTTACTTTGCAAAGTCTCTTGGACAAGAGAGATAAACTAACAGCCATGTTTTCTAGCAGTAAGTGGAGAAAATGCAAATGGTCGAAACATTCCAAAGGAGTAAAGGCATTTAACACGGTGATGAGTGTTAAACTTTGGAATGGGGTGATAATGTGTTTATAAGTTTTTGGACCATTGGTTAAAGTGCTTCGACTTGTTGATGGAGATAAAAAGCCTACAATGGGACTTTTGCATGGAGAGTTAATGGTAGCAAAGAAAGAGATAAGTGATGGACTGAAAAATGTGGAAAAAAATGTGAAGCCGATATTGAATATCATCGAAGAAAGGATTAAGGGTCGACTTGACAATCTTTTGCATTTGACAGGTTATCTCTTGAACCCATACCACTTCTACAAAGATTCAAGCAAAGCGACCGATGATGAGATATCAAACGCAGTCTTTAAGTGTGTGGATGCTTTTTTCCCAAATGATCTAACCACACAATGTCAAGTCATCAATTCTGAATTGGCGATTTACAAAAATAAAGAAGGGAATTTTGGAAAACAATGGGCTATCTTATGTTGCGAGAAGGAGGATTATGATCCAGGTATTTTTTTCCCTTCTTTAAAACTTTCACATTTCTTCTATTGAATAATTTGAGTTTTATTAATAACTTTGTTCATTTACATTGGTTTATAATTTCAGTTTATTGGTGTGAAACATATAGAAATGCAGTTCCTAATTTAGCAAAAATGGCTAAGAGAATTCTGTCTTTGACTACAAGTTCATCTGGATGTGAGCGAAATTGGAGTACATTTGAAGGGGTTAGGCTTTGTTATAATTTGTACTTTTCAGTTCTCTTCAATTTGGTGCATATAACTCAGCAGGTCATTAAATTTATATTGGTGGCTATTTTTACATGTAAGTACATACAAAGAAACGAAACCGACTTGACGTAAGAGAGAGAAAAATATTGATATATTGGTTCCGAATCATGCTACCTATGCTCAATCATGGATTGTTGATGGAATTTCTAATGATGGAGAGGACTCGGGATTTGGTTTAGAAGGTGATATTGGTAAAGAAGAAGCATTTAGATCAACAATTTATGCAGATCAAATTAGAGAGCTAGGTGAAGAAGATTTCATATCCGATGATGAAGAAGAAGTTTTTGATATTGATTATGAGTCTAACGACAACCAGATTCTAGAAGTTGATGGAGAAGAAGAATTGGAAGATTAAAATTTGGTTTTGTCATTTTGTTTTCATTTTTTTGAGAGTTGAAATTTAACGTGAGACTTATTCTATTTTATATTTTAATGTTATGTAGACTTCTTTTTCTTTTGACATTTGTTTTTTTAAGAGCATTTTCACTTAGATTTTAATTATTTTTATGATATAATATATATATATATATATATATATATTTATATTTATATTTATATATAAATATATTCACCGTATATACCCCGCCTATACAGCCGCATATACAGTTAGGCGCTATACGATGATCCACCGTCCAACTACCGTATAGCGTATTTTAGAACACTGATATAAACACATACATATATATATATATATATATATATATATATATATATATATATATATATATACACATATATGTATATATATATAGCGTTATTAACATTTGTATACATGTAAACACATATATAGAGCGTTATTAACATTTATGTACTTGTTTCAAACATAATAACCATTGTATCCCAAACTGTTGCACAGAGCAAGTGTAAGAGTGCATCGTAATTGGATACTTAAATATCATAAGTTTCGTCGGATTTTTTATTTATTTTCACCGGTTTTCATCGAGTTGTCACCAGATCTATACCGTATTTTGTCGAATTGGCACTGACTCTTCACCGAATTCGATCGATTTATCACCGGATCTTTATCATATTTTGTCAAATTTTTACCGGAACTTCTATAGATTTATCATACTGAAATTAAAGTAAGGATTGTCTCTATATATCCTTAACCAATTCTTCTTTGTTCGAAAATAATCGAGAAGATAGCTTCGAATTATTTATGGTCTTCCAAAATAAATATAATTTAATTAGATATTATGATAAAGGAGACAAATATATACATAAATCTACAAATTTTGTTGGATATCTAGAATATATTGATGATGAACATAAGAGAAGAGTCAGAAACTGAGCGAGTGAGGCTAAAATCGGAAAAAGAGTGGGCTAATGTTACCATTGTTTTGGGCCCCGACAAGAATTTACCAAAAACTAATTATGGCCCAGATCTTTACCTCCCACTTAATTATCTATTTATTTTAGGGAGACTTTGCGCAGAGGTAAAAACAGAGCAAGTAATTTGCGAATCAGTAAATGTCTTTTTGTGTCAAACAATAGAAAAAACACGTAACTAATGGCCCTCAATTTTCCAATAATAACGAAAAAACCATGTTGATTTTTTGATATGCGCGTGACAGACGCTTTGACTTTTGGGAGAGAATAAAAACGAACTGACAGACATTAAATGCTCAACATGTAAACTGACTCTTACCAAACTAACAATAATTGTTTGTTTCTCGAGTTAGAGCAATTTTAACATGCTACAAACATATATTACACGATTTTAATACTTATACACATGTAAACACACACATAGAGCGTTAAAAGTTATTATAGTGTTAAGCTATTAGATCTATGTATACATGTAAATATATACATATATACACATATATATAATAGATAGTTATTAATATTTATATACAAGTAAACACGTATATAGAACGTTATCAACATTAATGTAAGCACGTATATAGAACGTTATTAACAAGTAAAATACATTTATATACAAGTAAATACGTACATAGAGCGTTATTAACATTAAAATACATGTAAGCACGTATATAGAACGTTATTAACATTTGTATACATATAAACACGTAGATAGAACGTTGTTAACATTTGTGTACATGCATGCACGCTACAAAACTACCCATATTCGTCTAGGAAGAAACAAAAAAAAACTTCGTCGGTTTACTGAACGCGTGAGGCTAAATATGGAAAGAGAATGGGCTAATATTAGAATTGTTTTAGACCCCGACAAGATTTTATCAAAAACTAATTTCATCCCAGATCTTTACTTCTGAGCTAATTATCTCTTTATTTTATCATAGTCATTTGGATGCTTCAATAAAGATATCATTTTATTTTAATCTAAACCAAGACATGGACTTTGGGTAGGCTTAATAAACAACAACACGTTGAGAGCTAAGATTTCATCTGTGGTGTAAAACATATTGCTCATTTCCTTTGTACATTACATTTTTTATTAGAGAAAAAAACACAGATAGGAGGAAAAGGTGAAGCCGTTCCAACCTTGATTTTTCTCTATGTATTTTGAAGCATATAGTAACTTGTTTAGAAATATATATGCTTTTATAGTATGTTTCTTTTTGTAATACCAAAATCCCCGAGTTGTAACCTGGTTGAGTTGATCCGACTTACCTATAATGAAAAATTAAGTTGGGGTTATATATATTTTCAAAATTATGAATATCATGTTAGATTAAAATGTAATTCCAATTGTAGAAATACATAATTACTAGATGTTAACCCGCGGTACACCGCGGGCATAAATATTATTTGATTATTTTATTAATTATTAATTGTAATATTTTATTTGACATAATACAATTTTTTATTAATTTAGATGTATAAAACTCAATATACTTGTATATATTTAAATGTATAAAACTCAATATAGTTGTATATATCAATTTCATTTTACTAAAATAGATTTTAAAAATTTCCAATAGATCAGTTACTTGTATTCAAATTATGCCATTTCCAATTTTATAAAGTTAGAGAAATAAGATATTGTATTTGATTTCATTTGAATCTATTGAGTTTAATAAAAATACAATTTATGGTATATATGAACATATTTTTGGTGGAAAAGATATAACAATTTTAAAAGTGTGTAAATTTAGAAGATAAAGTGTTTTGGATTTAATTTATGTCATTAGTAATAGTTAGTTAGATAAAAAAGTTTGTATAGAATACTTAAATTAATATTACTGTATTTGGTAAGAAAAAAAAAAAAAAAAAAAACAAACCAAAACCAAAAACAAAAAACAAAACCGAAGAAATGGCTTGGTTAGATGATACCAAACCGGTCGGTGCCTTAACGGAATTTTCAATTCCGACAGGCATAGATCTTCAATTCACGATCCTCTGCAATCTTCAAGCTCTGAATTAAGCTTCTCATACTATCAAGATTTCGATTAATGTTTCGGATTGCAAATAAGTTCTCTCAAATTCGGATGGGATTGTAGCAGATCAAAACCTCCGGCGATTCAAATCTCCATGCAGCATTGAATCTAATCTGGCTACTTCAGTATATGCATGTAAAGGTTGGTGCTATAAACCGAGTGCGTAATCAAGCAATGGAGTACAGAAGACAAATCAATCAATTGTTCATTTCATAATCGGATCATTCTAAAGGTTAGTGATTGTTCAACTCGATGATTGAAACTACAATTGTTTGTTAAGGTATGTTAAAAATGTAGTAATTGATGGTGAATAATAGGTAGAATTGGTAGTAGTTTATAGAAATGAATCAATCTACTATAACTCAGGTAAACGAATATATTATAGTGTTAACTGAAATTCTAAGAGAAGCATAAACGCTTGTTCAACTATTGATCTTAAATTCACTTTGAAATATGCTAGTTTACTGAGCCTAACTCCAGCACAAAGTCTTACGAAGATGGACAGAGAAGTAAAAAAATTGAAAGAGAAGAATTCATCAACTCCATAAGAAAGCAAGGTTAGTCTCCAGAAACAAATCATGTATGAAGAATAGTGTCTTAGTTTCAGTGTTTTATTTTAAACGGAAATTGCAGAACTTAAGAGTATGAAAATGACTTCAGATTAGTTCAGTATGAAGATAGACATTTGATTGCCGATCTCCTTGCATCTTTGAGTTTGAAACTGTCTTGTTTATTAGAAATCACGTTCCTACAATAGGAAAACAAAGACTGATGCATTAAAATGGTGTGTGGTGGTTTTTCATACCATAACTGAAATCTTAAAAAGGAAATGGTAACTAAACTTACCTCCTTCAAGGCTTTAACTGTAGAGAAAGTCTAAGTACTGATGCGTCAGTCAATGTTTTGGAACACTTCCTTGAAAACAACATTTGTTGTTTTCTTCTCAATCTTCCCTTCTTTGTTGAGTATTAGTATACGCAAACCTTTTTTAGAAGTCACTCTAGACAACGCAACATATAGTTGGCCATGAGAGAAGACTGGTTTAGGCAAGTAAAGTCCAACTCGCTCAAGAGATTGTCCCTGACTCTTATTGATAGTCATAGCAAATGCAACAGATAGTGGAAACTGTCTTCTACGCATCTTGAATGGCAGTTTTGTGTCTGAAGGAGTAATGTTTATGAGAGGAACAAAAACGATATCACCAATTCTGTCTCCTGTTATAACTCTTGCTTCCACAATCTGATTACAAAGCTGCGTAATCTGAAGTCTAGTGCCGTTGCAAAGGCCTCCTTTAGGATCTAAATTCCTAAGCAACATAACAGGAGCACCAATCTTTAAACGCAAAGCATGATTAGGCAAACCTGAAACCTTGATACTGTTTAAGAAATCTGGAGTAATAACAGGATTGCTAAGAGCATCAGAATCTGAAGGATCTATACTATCAGCAGATAGATAAATTCTTTCTGGACCTGTAGAAAACAAAAGGGATATGATT